GTCCAAGAAACGCAAAACGGGACCCCTTTTTGGCCGTTGGTTTTCACTCATGAACAGGTAACAGCTCAGAAAGCGGACGTATGAACGAGTTCACCGCAACGCGTTTGGTGGCACCATGCCAAACCACGCTCCAATCGAGTTGCTCCAGTTGTGCCGCTGCTGGCAACGCAGCTCGTCCAAATCACCAACTAAACTAGTGGGCGGGAGCGGAGTGCTTTCGAAGTCCTGCTCAGCAACCAGCGCACCTTTCGTCGTGAAAGCGCTACATCTCGCTTCCCTGGCAGCCAAGTAACTGATTCGTGTGGTGCATATGCTTAACCTGATGCGCTCCCTCTTTGTCGTAATCTCTACCTTTAGCGGAATGTCAAAGGGATGTCAATTTTCTGGTATTTTAACCTCCCAAAAGTACAGATCGGCGACTACGGAGAGGTGAAAAATTTGGGTTGGCCACACCGGTTTGCATCGTTGAGGTACAAATTTCCCAAACTTCATGCTGCTTCGAAGTCCTTTTGCCAGCAAATTCTACTCAAAGCCATTTATTTCACTTTGTCAAGGCACTGTAATTAAAAAGGCACACTGTTTGACTAAACGAGCCTATGCGCAAGTGTTGTAGACAATGAGAAATGAAGGCAGGAACGTCTTACGATATTCGATTATTAGCTGAAATTATTGTATGTGAAAGTAATTGTCAATTATGCGATATTATAAGCTCTCAAGGGCGGCGATCTGGAGGTGGTTGCGACGGGGGTGGCGGTATTTCTGTGGGCGGTGGTGTAACAGGTGTCGACGTTCTGAGTGCTGAAATAACGAAGTATAAGGCATTACTCTTAACAAATAACTATATAGTATGGTAATGAACAACTGAAAAAGTGGACGAACTTGAACTATCGGAGGCATTGGAACCACGTTGCACGCTGGTCACATTGGTGCTCACAGCTGGAGACGGCTCAGTGACGGTGTTTTCCATGCCTATAGAATAGTTTAGAGACTGAATAGAATAGAATGGACTTCTTCCAGAGATCTTCATCTGATTATTTATTGATCAATTATTAAGAGAGAGCATTTTCTAGGTTCATTTTTTCATAATTCTTAATTTACTTTTTTTTACTTTGCTTTAACAACCGAAATAGCAGCTATATACTCACGTTCATCGTTGATTGCGTCAAAAACGATTTCCTCCACCAAAGCTTGGAGCATCCCTTGTAGCCTAAAAGGGTGAACAATACAAGCAGGGAGCAGTGAATTGAGAAATGCCCGTAGGACAGTGTACAGCCTCATGCCCGTGCGATGTAACCCATAACCCACGCCCCACTGTCGCGAGCCGGCTATAACTAGTGCACTGCCATGTAGGCTTTGACTTTATCAGATCAGGATTAGGTTCCTTATGGAGCTTAGGTGAAAGAATATAGGCGGACTAATGGGGAAATTTTGGCCCATTTACCCTTAAAGGCAATCCGGGATCAAACTGATGCATTATTGCGCTCGCAACTGACAGTGGACATGTGAAGTGTAAAGCCAGCAATGAAAAAACGGGAAGAAACCGTCGACGAAGCCGAAAATAAAATTGTCTCTCCAGTAGCAGCGCGAGATAGCACTGATTTTGGGCGGGCTCAATGGTGTTGGCGGGGCCAATGCTGCATCCTAGGGCCTTAGCACTTCGGCCTTAGCAAATCATCCTAAAAGTTGTGTACGTGCCTTCCGCCTGCGACCGCTGCACTTTTCTCAGTGGAAAGCCTAATTTTGACCAGAAATCCCTGACACGCCTTTAATGCCCCACATCTCAACAACCAAGCCGGATTTTACGAGATTTGTCCAACGACAGAAAATTTGGACTAGAAAGTTGACTCTTCAGGGTATTTCAACCCGTAAAACACGAGAATCAGCTCATCGCAACATATGCTAACACATGTTCGTTTGCACTAGTGTCCGGGGTAGCTAACAAACGCAAGAAACAAATGTTGCATATGTCACTTCTACGGGTCAAATTATGCGCATGGCGGCCAATTTCCCAGCGAAGTTGTAATGGACCTTTAACACGTTGACGACAACGCGCGTTTTGGGTTTTTGCACCGCGTGGGACCACGGCGATTTTGCAGGCGCCGCCGCCTCACATCAAATCCGTGAATTTTGAGCTTTAAATACCCAAAACTCGGATGCAACAAAATGTTTAGAATGATATTCGATGTGTCAAACTTATCAGAAGGGACAACTGTAAAAAATCGATCGAATTGACGTTTTCTGGCGATGAAAGGCAAGTTTCAGTTGCTTTTGCTGCAGTGAACCTCAAAATTATTTTTGACGCGGTTGCTCCACTAAAAACATATGTCTTGCTATATGTGTGGGTCTGTACTTACTTCTACTGCTCTTTTTTATGACCAAGATTATCAGAATATAAAGGAAACTAGGAATGAACACAATTGGGAAATTCGTAGGGCTTAGAAAACCTTCGCTAAAAAGGAGCATATTCAACCATTCAATGAACCTCGCCGTGTCTAGTCATATTATGGTGCAGTCTATAGAATAGATGCAAAAAATTAGAAAAGAAGTAGCGCATGCGCGAAAAAAATAAATATTTTGTGTGTGCAGCGCATGCGCTGCACACGGTCCCACACGGTGCTCAAGGTGTGATGCGCATGCGCTGCACAATGTCGTCAACGTGTTAAATCTTACTGGTGTGCTGCGCCCTTTTGCGCTCATACTTATGGCGTGGCGCCAGGTGTTTTCGCTCTGAACGGATTCGATATTCGTGCTGTACGGGTTGAATTACCATAATACACAACTTTCTAGCCAAATCCATGGTCATGGGCAAATTTCGAAAAAATGCGGCTCAGGTGTGAAGAGTCAAGGGTAAATATAATAGTAGTCCTCAAGAGTCAAGGGTAATATAATGAGTAGTCTCTCAATACTTTTCTAGGAGTTTCCTATAGCTGTATGTTCTCCTGGTCAGCGTCGGCCTGCTTTTACCTAACGTAATCTTTTTGAACCATATGCCCCATATGCTACTTCTTGAGTAGCAGACAGTTTTCTATAACTCCTCTCAAAGAATCGTAACAAATATGGTAAACACGTCCCATAGGTCTGGAGGTCAACAATTTTATGAAATGACTTCAAACTCCCCTTTCAATGTTCAAGTAATGCGTGCTTATCAATGAAATAATCCCTTACATCATATTGATATTCTCTTCGTCTGCATGGCCTTCTTGTTGCTCGCCGTGTCCCGGTTCTCCGTGGTGTGCTGAAATAATTATAATACTTCATTTGATGTTCCTCTCAATATTTATGGCTTACCTTGCTCAGGTCGGGTAGCTGGAGTGGCTGGAGCATTGGCCGCTCTCACGTCTGAGCCCTGTTGACCAGCTGGCACGGCGTTGGCGATGAACAAATGTGGCTGGCCTTGTTCATGAGAGCCTGCTTGCAAGCGAGTAGCTGGAGGCTCAGCGGGCATTTCTACAGTCGGCTGCGGCTGGTCCACTGCAGCCGGGGTTTCAGCAGGGACTTCTCGCACTTGAAGCCTGGAAAGATGGACGTTCTATGCAGTTTATTTGGAGATCACTATAGATCACTCACGTCTGGGTAGGTAACTGAACACGATCATGAGCTTGAATGGGAGGATATTGCACAATAGCGGGAGCCGCCACAGCATTCTCCTGGCTTCCTGCAGGTTGGGGTAGGCTGGATTGAATTGGTGCAGGCAGTGGCGTTCCAGGTTGTGCAGGGACTCTATCTCCCGTAGGAGTTCGATTCGCTTCCATGACTGGCGCAGCGGGTGCAGGGGGCATGACAGGAATGGCAGGCGCTGGAACCACGTCCAGCCCTGGTGACTGTTCTCGAATCTGCTCCTGTTGAGTGTTTGAAGCCGGTGGAGCTACAGCAGCTTGGGTGGGTATGATCACACCAACGGGAGCTGATGTGGCACCGGCTGCAGGAATCGTGAACATTATCGGCATCGGTGCTGGCTCTTCGGCGATCGGTGGACCATTCGACCTAAACAAAGATAGAGGGGTTTTTCTCGACTTTCTGCTACTGTGTTGCCAAATTTCAAAAAACAAATTCCAAACTATAGTGTAGCTGTGCTAAGTCCTTGTATGAGCATATATATGTGACGCACCAAAACGTGGGCGTGGCTCATGTGAGGGGCGGAGTCTGTGCGGGTGGACGTAGCTTTGCTGTGCTTGCGTGTGTGCGTGTATACCACATGTGTGTCTGGCAAAATACGCAGAAAACTGTACGCGTTTTCTTTTCTGGGCGGGGTATTGTGGGCGAAGCTTCACTTCCAGGATCGCAAATCCGTTCCCTATTCCTTTCAAGATGCGCCACACACTCAACCCCTTCCAAGAACTTCACTGCATAAGGGGGGAGGGAGGAAGCAAAACCTTTTTGCGTGTGGAGTGCACAAATAAAGCTTCCACTACCCACATTTATGGGGTAAAAGAAGACTCCGGACACCTTGGTCACGGTTCGAATGGACCGATCTCCTAGAATTCGTTGGATCTACGACCATGGAACCCCAGGATCGGAAAATTTGGCTCTCGAGGCAATGGTATGGATCACAGCTGCGTTGTTCAAGCCGCAGACCTATCCCAAATATCTTCGAAGACGATTTTCAGGGAGTATTCCAAAGAACAATCGATCAAAGAAATTACGGAGCTGCTTGAGGCATTTCGCCCCGTAGACCTTATTGAGCTCATTGACGATGATGAATTGCTTGCATCTGATGACATGAGGCTACCATAAAGGGAAATGACCGAGAAAATAGGAGCTTATTCTTTTCCTTCTTTTCTCTCCCTTGTGTATTCAAAAAATATAGCCTGGTGGTTAGTGGCGCCCCATTGTAGCCACACATTATGAGCCCGCCAAGGTTCCTATCCCTTAAAGGTCGACTGACAGGTTACAATTAGGTAGGTGAATATAGATGTGATCTGAATGTGAGTCACCTCCTGCTGAGCCAAGTATGCATGCTCACCGATTCCGGGGACTAGTTGGATGCGCAGCAATTTGACAGGGAAAGATTGACGAAATTTTAATGTTCAAAGATTTTTTTTGGTTCTGCGTGCTTCATTTGTTTTGGGAGCAATGGTGATTGCTGCCAACACCTAAAGCTTAACTTACTACTCACCGACGACGGATCCTTTCTCTGCGGGCTGCGGAGGCGGTGGTGGTGGCTGCAATTAGACTCTATTACCCAAGCGCCTCGGTAGACTGTCGTGGACAGCTCTGAGTTGGTTACAAAGCTTCTGTCAACCAAAGGGTGAGAGCGTAGCTGGAAAAGCACACACTTTGTGTCTTATTGGGACTAAGCCTTTTTAACACGTTGGCGACGATGTCGGTCAATGCTGACCGACAGGCAGTCTGTCACATGGGACGATGTCGGTCAATGGTGACCGACAGCTTGAAAGTAAGCAAACTTAGATGGAACCCGCGACTTTTCTATTTCAACGTTTACTTCAGTGTCCTAACTTACTACACTTGTCTGCGAATTATGATCTTTCTAATTCCTGGGAGTTTTATTCTGAATTAGTTATCAGTGGCAGAAACGCGCTGTCAATTGAATCACAACCACAAAGTTCCCACCGTCAGCAAACTGGAAATCTCACTAAAATTGTTCATATCGACCTTTACTAATTAGGTCACCGTCAGTAGAATGTCCATTTCTAGCCTTAGGTTCCCATGATGGTCAAGTAGGCTCAGTCTTACTCATAGGCAGGACAAAAGTACCTATCCAGTCCATCAACTGCCAAATATTTCACAAACAGTTTTTTGACCTTGAAATGACTCGTTTAAATCACTTATTCGATCATGAAGAACAAGATAACAGTCAAACAAAAGCTCATTCCGTCAGGTACGCAAAGTTTTTTGCGTCATTCTTGAGTGAAAAATTCGTAGAAAGATTTCAGATGTGATCAGGATACCAGTACCATCTAAAGGAAAGCTCATATTAATAATAAAAATGAAGAATGCGTGAAATTGCGCCTTCAGAACCTATTCTAACATGAGGTTTGAAAATGCCAGGCGATGTCACTGAAATTTCACCCAGCATTCAGTAGTAACAACTTTTCCTTGTTTCTAAACGTGTCTGGAGTACTCTAGTCAAAGGCATTTTGTGCATTTCGAGATTTTACAGAGCTACAAAATAAGTTTTGCCCTGTTGTTACCGGCGCTTTGCATGCAAAAAACGCCTCGTCCCATGCGCGCGACAAGGAAAAAATCGCTCGTCGTCAACGTGTTAAAGAATGAAGAAGAGGAGATGCTGTGATAGTGTGCACTTGTGAGAGCTCCCAGACATCACTACAAAACGCTGAACCGCCAAGGCTCACGGTTGACAGATGTCCTGAGACCGCTTTTGATTAGTGGCATCTGAGTTAACGGTCATCAGAACAGCGCGGTGGTTGGTGTGTTACATAGGGTAAATGTCTTTAGTAGAGAACCCAGTGAGTCCATATGCAAGCGATAAGTGGCTCGTTTCGCGGCTACGGTGCGCGCGAACCGATTGCCAATCCTATGAATGCGCCGTTTCAGATGGACCTTTTGATTTATCAGTTTAGGTGCTCTGCGTTTTTTCAAAACTAAGACATCCAGAGTACAGCCCCCCGCGGCACGATAGCTTCCGCGAAAACTTTTTCAGCGCCTAGCAACAGTGGCCGAAGCGAAGCCTTATTCAAAAGCTTTCCCACTGCTCCGTGAAACTTTCCTTCACTCTAACCACATTGGCACCTTATTTTTAACCAGCTACTGAATTTGCGTAGCAAGAGACAATTAGCCTATACTGCGAAACATTTTTCTAGGAGATCATGTAATTCATAAACCTACCTCTGGTAACGCGCGAGGCTGGGCGACAGCAGGCGCTGGTGCGTCAGGTCTCCTGAAAATTGTCACAAGTTAGCGCAATTCTGTAGAGTTCCCGTTAACTTTGAGTAGGCTTCAATCTTCCCCGTAAGTGAAGCAATTGAAGAAGTAAAATTACGGAATTAATTGTTGAATTTGGCCTCATCTCTACAGATTTATAGCTTTGAAGTGTCATAATCTATTCGACAAAACAACTGTCGTAATATAGAAGAGCGCGCTGAACACTGTATCGATTCAATGAGACTCCATCACGTAGCACGCCTTTATCTGTTCTTATTCTACTATCCACAATTCATATATCATTGATTCTTGATGGTCTATGGCCATATCTTCGCGACAGTATCAAAACTTAAAGGCAGCGGTCACGTTGGCTGAGAGGCGGAGACAAGTTCGTCGCGTTGTCGACTGGTAGAGCATTGTCATTGGTGCGAGGGCATCGAAGGGTGATTTAATGGTCTATCATATGAATAAAAATCATTTTGAGGACTTGACAATGAGAGCAAAATTGAATATTCGTCTTTTTGCTCGCATTCAGTTCCAGGCTAATAGGAACTACGCCAAGATATGGAGTATGGGATTTTTTCGATTCGCTGTGCCGAGAGAAATTGAACAACACCTTGAATTGCGGTGCTGTACCCTTTTCTCGAACCGGAACTCGTAGTGCCATCTGTCTTGGTTGGTTTGGCACAGTGGCGGGAATGTTGTCGGCTATTCATCAAGCCATTCTTCCCTCACAATTACAATAATCGCACAATCAGGGCAGCACCCAAAGAGGGTTCGACTTATGGTTAGATTTCGATCTGTAATCGTTCCAATGAAGAGTAACTTCTCTAGGATTCCGCCACACCTCTACTGAGT